TTGCCTGCCATCTTTTTAGCTGTCCACTAATAGGGCTCGGTTTCCAGTAGGTTCCAACGACTCTCCGCAAATGCAGGATGTCTTGTTGCGAAAGGTGGGATGGCATGGGCACTCAAGCACCCAAACCTATCGTGCTGTGGAGGGCAACCTGGTGTTGCAAGGAAGGCTTCGCCGGGCTCCCCGGAAGCAGGGCGGGGATGCATCAGGGACAGTGCAACAATGTCCAACCCAAGTGAGCGACTGGTTCGACGAGGGCATCTTGCGTATCAGGCGGTGCACATGTTTTTCCATAAGGTATTGCCTGATTCAATATAGCTTATATGTACGTCGGTTTCAATAAAGTGATGCATTATTGCCTTAAATAAGTTGTGATATTACTGTCACGAATGATTTTTTTAGGTACATTGCATGTTATGAAAACGCTGCATCTAATGAAGTAAATCATTTGTATAATACGATATTACTACGTTACAGTGTGCAAAAACAGCACGGTCTGAGGTGTGCCTTTTACAAGTAGGTGTCCGGATGTTTCCCCGTCTAGTGTGTGGATGCATTGCGACATCGAACATGACCGTACAACCGTGGATGGAATGGCACCAAAGGAAGCTTCGCGGCAATTGTTTTGGCTAAACACGGGGTTCGTTCTAGGGGTATTCACAACTAACTCTGAACAGGTTCCAGTGCTATGAAGGCGGCACTTGTCAGTGCGCCGCGCCCTTGCAACATGCCCAACATGGTCCATAATGTAAGGATCATAAAACATTATAATTGGCTCACATGAATATCAGCAGTGAAGGCAACATTTAAAAATTTGTTCCCATTGGAAAACGGATGGCGCAAAATCATGATGTTGGAGTGACAAAGAACAGACTATGACCAAAAGATTTGATCAAAAAGGTTTTTTGTAACAACAACCCATTTTTGGAAGGCAGAAACGGCTGGGCACTCACTGGCATACCCAAGGTTTCATTCACTTATGCATTTTCACTCACCTGCGCGCCTAGGTTACCAATCACGCACTCTGCACAACAAAATGTTACCAGCACAAATCAGGATAGCCGTGAACAGTATGTTGGCTAATGTTCAATGAAGGCCTCAAACTGGCACTTGAGGCACGGGAGTTGCAAATTCTGCTTCCTTGACATCCTTAAGTGGATGTTGAATGTGCTTTTCATCACACCCAATATTGCACAACACGCATCGTCTAGGAAACAGTGTCGACTCGGTAGGGGGGAGCTTTGTATCCGAGTAGGCCATCGGGGTTGTGTGTATTGCCATCACTGCCACTAGATTCAATCTAGATTCATACGCTTGTAAGAAGTGATGGCTAACAGTTCATCAATCCAGAATATCATTGTCCTAGCTTCAAGTCACAGAAATTCCAAGCGGTGGCTGTCATGTACACAACATGTGCTCATGTATATGGTTGCATGTTGCGCACAACCCTTTTATAGCCGCATTCTTACTTACAGAGTCAAGCGGCTCCAAATGTGAAGCTGAAAGTCGCGGCCCTCCTACGGTCAGAAACAAGTTGTCAAGATATGATTGGTGATTGTCCTATCTTTTTCTCTCGTGTATGTCTCCAATGTATTGAGTAGTAGTAGCAGTACTAATAGTAGCAGCCCTGGAAAGTCGTCGGACAAGTGGTCAAAGTTGCAAAGTGGTCTAGCGCGGATCTAGCGCGTTCCCCTGCCAGTACCTCAGGCCACCAAACGGCTGTGATCAAGAGCACGCTTTGCGGTCTGCCGGCTTTCCTAGCTTTGATATAGTTATATAATGTTATTCTATAGTTCTTCCACGCATGAAGAACCAAAACGCAATGGGAACACGCCCTTGGGCCTGTGCGGGTGCGTCTGTGTGCGCGCCAGAAAGTGTGAGCGTATTCTTCAGCAGCCAAATGTATGTATGTGTTGTTTGTTGATCCTACCTATAAGTACTTGAACCTAGCTCCAAACCTAGCGCAAACCTAGCGCAACCCTGCGCTTTGCTAGCGCAATAAGGTACCATCTCCAAGTGAAACAACAGAATACCAAGCGGTGGCCAAGCAATCTTTGAACCTGTGGGAACCTTGCTTACTTATACAATACATATTACCGCATTTATGTCTTCAACTCACCTATCATTAAAATTTGATTTTTGGGGGCCCAAAAAACAATTGGACAACACAGCTCAGCGGCACAACTGTGAATGATGCTTGTACAGCTCTTCGAGTGCTTGTCAGGAAGGAGCCAGTTGTCAACATAAAGCAAGATGAGGCAAGGCGCCAGCCGCTTGTATTGGGAGGGTATATGTACAGACCAGAAGCAGCCTCGAAAATAAAGGCCTGCACTTGATAGCTGCAAGCTGTCTCGCATATCCGCATAACAGAAAAGACTCAAAATTGACCTCCGAAGTGTCTCTTTCTGTTTAAGAAAATTGCAAATCCGAGAAAAAGATAATACTACCGGCAACTAACGGGTCTTGCCAATACTGAACCCTAGTCCTCGTTGCGCAAAGAGGCATAGTGGCCCAGCTTTAGGTCACCATGCGCGAGGCCGCGGCTTCGAATATTGGCAGCTGACAAGCGCTGCTCCTTGGTGGAGAACGGTTGGTGTGAACAAAGGATCACGTGGAAGACCGTGGCAGTTGCTTCAAGAATTCGATGTGTGGTGTCATGCCAAGGATCAGCCTCCTCAACAAAGTGAGACCAAAAGTCTGGTGCGCGTTCAAATTCTGGTCCAAGCCAGAAATTGTGCTCATTTCCTTGCAGGTATGCCAGCTATGCTGATGTTTCTCGCCTTTGGTGTGACATGAAGCTGGCACAAACTCAGGCTTGCACCTGGGCAGTATCCCATCATCGGACCACCGCCATTGTATGCTGCATGATTCTGAAAAATGTAGACCTCTTGCTTATTGCTCTTTTCTTGACCCACATGTCCAATCACATCGTGCGTCTGGCGATGTCTGTTTGAAGCAAGGGACTGTAATTTCACGGCCTCGTTGTTCTGGAGGCCAAGACTCAAAGGCTTCACCTGCTACGGCCTTCATCCCAAAGTCGCAGGCCTCCGCTTTTGAGGTCTCTTCTCACCCGAGTTGCACGAGTGACGCTTCACAGCACTGGCCTCTTTTAGGAAGAGCTCTGTCAGCGTATCCCAAGCCCTGCCATTCACGCACATGGCCGCGACGCGTTGAGACTTTCAGGAGAGCATGAGGATGCCAGAAATACGCATTAATATATTTCAATCTATTTCATCACAAGTCACTTGCCTGGGTATGTCTGAAAGCTCCACAGAAAAGTGAATCTTCCAGTCCGGCAAGCGGTGATCGTGCTCATTCTGAGCGAGCCTAACGTGTCGCACATGATCCGCGTATGCTTCGCTGCCGACACTACAACTGGCACTGCAAGCACTCTTTCCATCACTCGCGTCCCGCCCTCGCTCTCTGTCGCCCCATCTCTATCATATTCACTTCAAACGGCTTAGTGCCCCCAAGTCAATGGAGCCAAAATTACTGTGATTATATAGATATGATATGTGAATGCATGACTTGGGCAACATTCGCAGGGGGGTGCTCGGCATTCTACAATCCCCCGTGTAAATGTACAATTATATACATAACATATAATCATATATATATATATCCTAATGGCCATTTACACCGTATGTACAGTGGTTGTATCATTTACATCTTGTAGTATCCTCAAGTCTAGACATAAATTGAAACCGCGCAACCAATACACCCGTCCGCGGTCTGTGCAAAGTCTGACAAATCCTCCAGTATGCAAGATTTCATACCTTGAAGCAAGCAGTTGGCTCACATAAACTAATTACATAATACTTTTATATAATATAGTCTAATCATGTGGGACATGAATATCTAACAAACCGCAACCTGCACGATTCACGGGCAAAAGCGAAGTGCTGATTCTTCAGTACAAACGGAAGACAAAAACATCAACAACCTGAGAAATGTGCTAAAAATCTCAAGAAGTGCCAAAATATTGCCAGAGGGCTCGGTTGATCGGAAGCTTCTGTCAATGCCTGGGCAAAGGAAATGCAGAGGCCAGCAGCGTTGAACATGGTTCTTCCTCTATGATGTCCAACATATTCCAAAAAGGACAAAAAATCGATCCCCGGATTTAACGGTCGGCTTCTGCTCATAGGCCAAGCCAGAACCGCAGCACGTACAGGAAAGCGATGGAAGGTGAATGATATCATATGATATCACAAGTTGGCTGCATTGGACTTTCAACATGCTTTGGTATGCATTGCATCAGACTTGCAAGCGAGACACAATTCCTCTGCACCTACAGTAATGAGAAGGAAGAGCAGCTCAAGTCAAACATGTCATGGATGATAATGGATGTCAACGGCACACAAACTTCCCTGCCATGTCGGCCAATTCCCCAGCCTTTGGCTCGTTTTCGATTTCCTCCCAATGAAAAGGGTTTGGCTCAGACCGCAAAGCTACCTCGCAGGTAGTCCTCCGGGCAATGAGGTGTGACGTCAGATCTTGCCGCCCCCTCCGACAAGGAAGAACTGAACTCCTGGTGGCCATTGCTGGGAATCTCTTTCAATGTGCTGGCTGAGCCAATAAAATTGCAGACGACCGTGCCAGGTGTGGAGGCCATTAGAGGGGAGGCTATTGCTTCCAGGTTGGAGGCCATCGCTATTAGAGGGAGACCATTGCTATTGTATAGGTTGGAAGCCCATCACACCGTGACTGACTCTTGGTGCCCCTCCCATTCTCAAGTCACCCGCCCCAAAGCAATCTGTGGCCGTGACATTCCCAGTAGTCAGGCCACAAAGTGGCCATGTCTGGACCTTGGAAGTAGGTCTTCTCACCCTTGCGTTCAACTAAAGCAGGCTGGCTGGCGTAGCAAGTCTTTATCTTTGACTGACCCGACTCAGCATAGCCATGCACATCTTTTCTCATGCAAGCAGAGTCCAGGTACTGCTCCCTCACGCGCCCAGGACTCACAAACAAATTGGATGTTCAAAGCACGATGTCGTGTGGAGCCATTAGGACAACTGAGGAAAATCCATCATTCTGAAAGCCATGTCAACCACCACCAGTGTGGCTATCGACCACATCATCATCCCAGTGATGAATTTCCGGCACCGCGCGGCCTCAAAATGCATGAGAATAACATTGTGGACAATCTTTGGGCAGTCCTTTCTATCTTTCTTTCTGGGGTTTGTTTGACTTGCGCAACCTGTACGCGCTTGACAAAGCATGCTATATGCTTCGCTCTTTATTGTTTGGACTTTAGGGCACTTTAGGGATACGAAGGTCTCACACTTTGTAGCGCCTCTGAGTGGACAAAGTCAAGATAGGCTAGCTGAAGGGCACAAGAGCTCTCCTTCAATGCACAACCCACAACAATCATCACTGGCCAGCTCAACCCACACCCCAGCCCAGCTTCATGCAAAAAAGTAAAACATGTCAACAAAACTGTCAAATCCTGTTCACTATTCTCTGATTCCTGCATGGACCACGTTTGATTTGGAATTGGCACGCCAAGGTTCCAGAAGCTCTTCGTGGTATTCATCTTCATGTCTATCCGCCTCTGCTTTGGCCACCTGTTTCCTGTGAAGGGCGGCCATCTCCCGCTGTCCTTGGCCCAGGCAAGTCCACAAACATGCTAGATGAAGCTGTTGAGCCGTGGTAAAGCTGCCTTCGGCAACACGGCATGTGTATTCAAGCCGCCTCTTTCCAGTAGGGCTTACGCACATGTTTTCACTCTGCAAGCCAAGAGACGTGCTGACAAAACGGACAGTCCGGCATGCTGCGCGTTCCGCTGCTGTTCAAGGATCCGATCTCTCAAAGTGTCAAGCTGCCTGAGCCTGCAACTGATCCGCACTTGACTTGCAAAAGAAAAGCAATCAACCTTCAATCAAACACACTCACCGACACAGGGAACTAGTGTGGGCAAACCACTCCAGGTTGTCCTTAAACATCTATGACATTCTATGACAGTCTGGACACACAAATGCTAGCTTATGCTTCGAAGGAAGCAAGAACCCGAGGTGCTCCTGCGTGACACAATGCGAGAGAGTGTCAGCTCCTCCTCCAAAAGGAAGTGCTCCTCGCCCTCCTGCAGGGCGAGTAGCAGAGCTCTGCGATCGCACTGCAAGATCTCAATCTGCCTCTCCACAAGGCTGATGTCCATTCTAAGATTCGCCAGGAACTTCTCTAGGCCGCATACCTTGACAGTTTGCTGCTGCAAATTGGCGTTCAAGTGTCCAGCTGCGATGAATAAACGTCTCGCGGTCTGCTTCCAGCTTCCCGGTGCTGAAAGAATCCATCGGCTCTTTGGAAGGGAACGGTCGGAAGCTTTTCCATCAAAAATGACGGCCATTGGGACACACGCAGGTGGCGCTGCAGGCAAACATTCAGTTGGAAAAAGGCCATGTAGTCCGCGAGTGTCTGGTCAACACGTCCATTTTCACTCTTGGAACCTCAAAATTCACATCAAAAGACTTTCCGGCCCGATTTGAGTCTGTTTTGAGTCACCTTGTTGTGCCGCTCTGGCGTTCCATATTGGCAATATCATGATGTTGTCATTTCATGTGATTCGGCTGAATGCAGCTGAGAGCCGAACCACTCGACTCAAGACTGACAGCAGAAATATTCTGTATATAGTATATGCTATCGTCTATAGAAAGTGATGTGTAGAGTCTCAGAGTCTAGTGTGTCTTGAACGCTTGGGATGAGTAGATGCCCAGGTGCCCAGCATGGTGCGGTCCCATCAGTTTGCCAGCCCTCTTGGCCTGACATGTGTCTTTTGGCCGCCAGGTTTAACTCCGGCAGCTCCTTACTGGCGTTTCTGCTTGCCTCATCTGTCATGGACAGATTGATATCGTCAAGAACGGCCCAGCCACTGATCTCACCCTGGGATACCAGTGCCAACAAAAGTGGACGCCAACGCACGACACAGGACGTGAATGACACACCAATACAAGCAAGTCGAAACTATTTCGTGTTTCAGCTTGGTACGGCCAGCTTTGGCGTGGCAGTTGGAGCTCACTAAACCCTGCCTCATGCTGGCGAAGCCACTCGCTGATCTCCTTGGCACGGCGCTCCGCAAAGCAACGCAAGGCATCGGAGCCTCAGTCACCCATGATGTCTCATGCCAGCGGTGTCGGTGTCCAGTCAACTCAGATTCGAAAGGTAAAAGTTCGTGCAAAGTGATCTACTGGGGGATCTAGTGAGGTGAGAGAGAAAAGTTAGCGTCTCGAAACTATATGAATCACATGAACATCCATTAAATTGCATGTTAGGTATGATGCTCAATGATGCTTTACAATCCAAAGCACTTGAAACCTCCTGGAGCTGCCTATGGCCCCAGCCCTTCTCTAGCTTGAAGTCTATCGACGTGACGTCACTCCACAAGCGGAGCCTCTGAAAGGTGTCCATGAAAAGGAGGTTTGCCACAGACTTCCCAGCATGCTCACTTCCAGCAGCAATTTCTTGTATTGAAGAACCATTATAACTATATATGTATATATAAACCACATGATTCATCATGATTCAAGCGCTCCAATTCCAAACCTGGACTTCTGGCTGTCATGCATGTGGGCAGCTAGTGCCATGTTTGCGCAGTGAAGTAGGTGCGAAAACCTGCTGACCCACCTGTTCTTGTAGAAAATTTCCTCCAAGGCTTTCAGGAGCGTCTGGCATCGCAAATGCACAACATGCAACCCCCCAAAACAACAACCTGGCTGCCTATCGGTGTGACTATTAGAATCAAAAGGAATCGAACAACTCCACAATCTCCCCCGGGTGCCTCACTACGGCGCCACTCTGAGCATAGGACGATGCGTGGGCTGCTCCGCTCCTGTGAAGCACATGTGGTTGCAGAATACTTGTGCAAAGTGGTCTGAAAATGTCTAAGACTCTAAGAGCAGTACCATGATATACCGAAGAGCCTGAAATTCTCCGAAACGCACCACAAGGCTGCACCAAAATGAAGGACGGTTTATGCAGGCTATAATATCTTAGCCTTCAAGGCTGCTGGGAAGAAGTCAGACGTGTCAGGCTTGGCCTTGGAATACTACTCCAGTGAACTGTGATGGAAATTATGCCAAACAACATCGTTGTGAGGGTGGGGGTCTGAGGCACCATCTGCATCACCATCTGTGGAAATGTCAAAGGTTCCTCAGACGGTGGCTCTTGGTTCAAGCTGCAGACCCAAATCATGCCATGTTTTTGCCTGCCCGGGCTGGCCGGAGCACACCGTCCACATCCAGGAAGACAACCTTGCCTCGCTCCTTCCAAGTGAAGAAAATCAATTTGACAAAGGACCGCCGTAGTCTGAGGAGTAGTTCACAAATGTTCAGGCTCAATGAAGACTTAAAAAAATAAGGTCGAAGAAATCCAACAGTTGCAGGAATCGTGCACCCAAAAGTGGTTGGGTGATCAAAAGCCAATCGGCCGCGCCTCCGGTGGGAGCGCCAGGTCTATCTGGGGTCCTCTCTCCCCAGCTGCCTTCAAGGCTGCCTCGAAAAAGCACTCAGCGCTTTCTGACTCTTTTTGTGCTCAGGCATGGATTGGACAGTCGTAGGATACAGTGCACTTCACGGTTTTCAGAGGCTACCCCCAAAACTGAGTTGCACCTCCGTGGCTGCTGCCGTGTCCGCATCAGGCCTCTTTCACAAATAATGATTGCCATCGAAGCAGCACGGCTTTACATGGATGCAAACAACTGAGAATAACATGCAAACTCTCAAGGCTCACTGAAGTTATCCCAAAGCCTAAATAGCTTTGCAAAACTACAATTGGGGCCGCAGCTGAGGCATGTCAGCATAAAGCGTCTCAGCCTGCCAAGTCACCAACCAAGCCAGGTGCAGCGCTCGAGTTAAGGCAAACACAACATGCAAGGAAAATGCTCGCAAGCGAAGTCCGATGATCCATGCCACCTCTTTAGCAGCCTTGGCGGCAGCCCGCTCTGCCTAGACGGTGCTGGCTTATGTTCCTCTCTGCATCGACCAAAACATCTAAAGCAAGAAACAGTGAGCCAATGACACAAGGACCCCCAAAAAAACTCTAAACCTCACTGGACACGTCATCGAACTTCGTGGCATCATGCAATTAGAAGTTCTATGTCTATGTTGCCTTGTTACACAAACAGCTAGCTGGCTTCAGCCACACACGTCGCACCTGCTGCTTCTTCGCAGCCTCCATGCTGGCCTCCGATGCTTGTTGGTTTGGCAAGCTAAGCAGCTAAACGCCCGCAAACGTGTGGCCTTGACACGCTGGTCCCGGGTCTCCGCTTCTTTCTTTTTCATTTCCTAGACACTGACAGCAGCCCACTACTCACTAGTTACACTAGTTACAAGTCATCTGACTAACTTCCGGTCACTTCTCAGCGGAGATAATGATACATCGAGGCGGTCCTCGTCAGCTTGCTCAGCTTGTCTTCGCCTCTATTACAACACGGGTGAAATTCCACGGACCTCTATCCCCAGAACGTTGATCGTTATGTCCTGGGCCTCTCCAAAGCCTCTCGGTCTGCTCGCTCCCGCTCACGAGCCTGCATGTGTGGAAGTGTTTCATGGATTCACATCGATTATCGTCGGGCTCGAACTTGCCTATCTCTCTCTCTCTCCCTCTCCCTGGCTCCCTCATTTATATATACTGTAGATGTATGATATACATGTTTGGTATACGGGACGGCCAAGGATCTGATAAACAGCCTACCTATTTTTCTTGCCACGCAAACTCATGCGAAACCATGCGAAGCCATCCTCCATTTCTTCCATGCGTTTCTTTTTCTCCTCTTCTGCCTGGACAGCGAAGTTGTCCATTGACAGTACTTTACCTTCTACTTCTCTATGCACATGAGTGTGTTCTCCTGTGCACATTGTGGCCTTCTTTTGCTCCTCCTGCTTCCTCCGCAAGGCCTCCATCCGCTCCTGCCTTGGCATCACGCAGCTCATGTCGCTCAAGGCCAAGCAAAAGCTCTCGAGTACATTGCTCTAGCCCGTCTAAGTTGGAAAAAATGTGCTTATGTATACCCATTCCATCTATCCATCCCTCCCTCCCTCCCTCCGTCCGTCCCTCCATCCCTCCATCCCTCCATCCCTCCATCCATCCATCCCTCCATCCATCCATCATCTATCATTATCTATCATTATCCATCTACCTATATATATATATATAATAAATCTGATTCTGCCAAGCTTCTCTCTTTCGTGCTCCAGCCGTTCTTGTTCCTGCTGAGGGTGTGTCACAGCTCTGCATCCGTTGCATTAATCTCACACATTACAGGCACCTTGCGCGCAGCTGCTTCTGCCTCCTCGCGCTGCCGCTGAGCTTTCTCAACCAGCTCGTCTTTCTTGCCCATCTGGAAAGTGAGACATTCCCCGCATCCTCTTGCACGATTTCTTGGTGGGCCCTCCAAGGAAACAAAGCTGAATCTCTGAGCCATCCACGGAAGGGGCTTCCTGCGCTCTTTTCAGAGCCTCATGGCCCATTGCACTCCAGCAAATCCTCTTCCCCTTGCCTCTAGGGTCGGCACGCCCTGCACAAGAGCAGCTACCTGACTGGCTCTGATATAAACAGAAAAGCCAAACCCACAACATCCAACTCCCTACTGAGGCCTTATCGCATCGCATGTCATGAGTCGCAACTTGGTCGCCAACCCCTGGTCCGCGCTTGAGCTCCTTTGCCCGCTTTTCACGTGCAGCTTTCAGCTCCTCCTTGCGCCTAGGTCGGGTCTCATGGGTGAGGGATGGTAAAAATGCAGTCGGTCATAAGGATTCTCCTGTGGCAGTCTTGGGCGACTGAACAACCGCATCAATCATCAATCGAGGCCGTCATGCTTCACCCCAGTGAGAAAGTTAACAGACTATCAAATCTATCAAAAGGTCACCAGCTATTTGCTTATGTCGCCTAGTCTAGCTTTCCCATCCATGAGCGGAGGCACCAAAAGAACATTTACACCCTCCCGTCAATCAAAAATGCTCATTGCTCAGCGCCAACGCAGCTGGGTGGATGGCTTCTTTTCTGCCTCCGGGTCCAACACCTTGGCCTCTCCAAGTTAATAAGCACCAGCCCTTTCGTCGGAGAGTCTTGAGACGGCCCAAGGGACCGAAAAAAAATATAATGCCCAACAAACTGTCCAATGCAGCTTTGCCCTGCCTCGGTCTTGATGGGATCGACTGACGTTATGCCCTGCCATCATCAAGAGTTTAGGATAGTCTAGGAGTCTGCATGTTTAAGCGCTTTCTTAGCCTCCAAGGCTGCAAGGCTCAAGGCAGTGGCCGAGATGGGCACTGAGGGGAGACCTGCCATCACCAGTTGCGCGGCTAAGTCGACCAAAGAGTGCAAACGGCCAGATCCGAGGCTTGCCTGTCAAAGCTGGTGTTGGTGGCACTCCGGCCTTGCCCGAAGCTCTCTACAAGAAGGTTCTCCCGTCTGATGGACAAAAAAGACCTTTAAAGCACACACACCCGTTCCCAACTGTTCCACATGAGTACCAGAACTCCGGAAAATGTCACTCCTATGTCGAATGGCTGGCCTCTTTCAACAAACATGTGCCCCAGCACATCCCAGCTATAATATGAACATCCGCCAAGGCTGTGGCTGTGCTTTGAACGTTTCGTTATAAGTTATAAGTGCAGCCACAGAGTCCGAGTTTGAGGCGTTGCATTGTCGGTTATTGCTATTGCTGGGACGCCGACAGTAGCAACCCCAGTGAAGGCACCAGGGGCAGGTGCGGGTGTGGGTGGAGGTAGGGCAGCAAAGGCCTTTGGAAGTCTCTCAGCAGTGTCAGCTGCTTGGAACCACACATTCAAACAGAACTGGGTTCTTGTATTCATTGGGGCAGTAGGCCAAGATTTAGCTACAAAAGCATCAACGAAAGGACCTCCTCCTTCTCTTTATCCTTGTCCTTCTCGGGAGGGCCTTACGAACGCTCCAATTGTGACGAGCAATGGGCGCAACTGCAAGAGTGTGCAAGCATTTGTGGGCTTACGCTACCCCCACCACCTACCATTCCCACGAAACATGAACAGAATATATGGTGTATGATATATTCAGCCAAACCTTTCTGTGAGAAGTGAGATCTTGCACTTCAGAACATGGCAAATCAGACCGGCGATCAATCGCAAGTGATCAGTAAGGTCCACGACTTTTTGTATCTCTCTGTAAATGGGTGCGAGAGACTGTGAGACTGAGGCCAATCAACTGCGTCATGGTCTGCAAGTAGTCTTTTGTTACTAGGTGATCATAATCATGCCTGACATTAGCCAACTCCATCAATTATATAGGAAGTTTATAGAAGTGTCTCTTGTGCAAGCAAGTGACCAAATTGAGAAGCATACTGCATACTGTCTTTTGTCAAGAAGGCAGGTGGAGCATCTAGTGAAGCAGCTAGGTGTGAAGATTCACTGAGAAGGCACGGATGCTCATTCAGGCTGGTGGAAGAGCGCCAGGTATGCCTGCCAAACTGTTGTAGTTAGCTAGGTTCAACTGTGAGCTGTTCCACTGACTAGTCTGATGACCGTGCTTCGAATTTAATTGGCTTTGCACTAGTATGCACTTGGCCTCAGCGCGAACCAAAGAAGCCTTTGATGTTGTCTCCCACCTTGGAGACCTGGAGCTGAGAATTGCCCAGCTCATCCCAGCGTCGTCGCAAATTCCGATGGTCTCGCCTCTTTCGAAACCTCTCCAATGGTCTCTCCGGCGTCATCCAGAAGGTTCCTCAGCTCTGCCTGTCAACGGCCCATTGCAGCCCAACTCGGCCCAACTCGGCCCAGCCGGTCGGCCCAGCCGCCCTGGCCCAGCTGCCCTGGCCCAGCCGGGATGCCAAGGCCCCCCTTTTCAAAGGTAAAATGTTCGGCCCCTTACTTTCGGCCTCTGGCGGAATGACCGTGATGCCATTCATGTCCATAAACTCACCTGACACGCTGCGGCATGGCACACTAAGAAATATTGATCATCGCCCTGTCAAGTTCTTAAGGCGATGGCCTGGATTGTCATTGAAGTAGGTGTTGTTCTTGACTTCCTGTCTACAAAAAAGAGAAATGAATGTTGGTGTGGTATCGGTATGCATCGATTTCATCTCTTCAGACCACAGGTCATCGTCGCACCCGCTCAAATCCGCTCCTTGTAGCCAAATTCCACCTCGTTGCAATACTTCAAGCCTTTATGCATCTCTTTAGCCTGCTCTGTGATCTCATCCCTCTGTTTGTACAAGTTCCTCAGGCAAAGCGAAAAAGCCAGCAAAGTCTGGTGTCACTTCTCAATGCTTCATTGTGCAGACCAAGTGTCATGCCGACAGCTTTGACGATCTGACCCTCTGCAAACTTGTCAGCACCAAGGGTCTTGGCAACCTGGTTGTCTGTTGCACCCTTCAAGGTCTTCAGTGCCTGCCAAATCCGTCAAACAAGCTGCATCAACGAGACACTGCATGTAGGCTACAGAGTTTCGATTCTGTGTACTGTATGTACTCTTTGCTTCCTCATCGTGGCCCCCCCCATTGGCCCTGAAAAAATCTAATTCCGGGAGGGGCCATGCAGGCACTACAGTTGGTTGGCTTCCCGTTGACCAACCTGCCTCCGAGCCAGACACAATATTCATTGGGCACCACTGTTTGACTTTGGGAGAGCGGACGTAGATGATGAAATACCTCGGTGCAATTAGTTTTGGCACCGCTTCGCCACCTACTTTGTGCGACACTTGCCTTCCAAAGAACCAACGAACAACAAAAAACCAGCGGGCTGTCATGCTGCTGATCCTTCAGGTTGTTGATGGATGGCATCTTCATGCGCCTGGCCTTGATCCTGGGCGTCAAAGCTAACAAGGCGCGTGAAAACAAGACTCAAGACCAACCTCCACACCAACTTCGACAAAGGCACAATGCTCTGTTTGGCCGGCCACAATTCCAATTTCTGGACCTGACAGACGGAGCCACAAAATCCAGTCTGGAGTCATCCCACTTTTGATTGCGTGCCCCAGAAAAAAATAACCATGTTCTCGGGCGTGTACCCAATCCGCATATCTAGATATGTGCGTGTGTGTGTGTAACCCTTGGAATCAATGGGGCCTGTTTGCTTTTCGATTTTTGTGTAACGCAGGGCGGTGCAAAGCACACAGGAGACTGCACCCAACGACGTTATCCACTTGTGCTGGTAGCAGAGCCTGATCAGCTGCTCTGTGTACCTGCTACGTTTTGACTTTCCACTTCCTCCTGGGCCCCGTTCGTTAGTAGAACATGTTTTCCAGCTTTCCTGGGCGGGCCCCAGCAGTTCCCTCACTGCAGTGACGCTTTGTTTTTTGGAGTTCAGAATTATCTGTTGATGCGATTGGAAGTCTTTGAAACTTTTGGAAACGTGGTGCCTTTATATACAGTAAAGGGTGGTGGGACCGCATTGCATGTTACCTGCTGTACTCGGGCAGTTTTTGGCCTAGATTTCTGCTGGCATTGGGCAACCTCCGAACGTACTTGATCCCAAGTGTGCCCCTCATTCATTAAGAGCCATTAAGAGCCCAGAGTGTGCCCGAAGTAGTGCCCTCCGTGGGGGTGAAGTTCCCACCGCATGGTGCACAGAGCAGGCCGTAGCGGCTGAAGGAGCCTCAGCACAGATGTCAATGCCAAACCAGAAGACACGGCTTCGACAGGGCAGGCTTTTACGCCAACAGCCCATAGCGGACGACAAGAGCCAGCACTAGTAGGCCATAATGGCTGTCGCTTTTGATCTCGAGATCAAGTGATCTCGCCCGGGCCCTGATGTGTGCAGTATGTTTTTCGCGCTTGACCAGATGAGGTCGCCCTACCTTTTCTTGATACCTCCTCAAACAGTGCCGTGCATCCGCAGTCATGCACAAACAATGTTTTCAACCATTCAAGTGAGCTGACTTTGCGCTTTTCCGTTCCCTGACACTGAAAACCCTATGTCTAAGTGTGTATCGCTGTGTCTTCCCACCGGGTACACAGTGTGCTCCTCTTGGAAGAGGCGCTGAAGCCACTCCGGACCAACGTTTTTCTGACTCGAAGCGCCGCCATCGTGGATTCTGGTTTGACTTCTTTGGTTCCACATGCTGCCGAGCTTACGGTTCAAGAACTGACTTCCGCTGTCTTTCACGATTTTGATTTGCAATTTCCAATTTTCAACTACTCTTGATCACCAGGTTGCGCAAGGAGGCCATGACTTTTCATGACCTCAAACGTCACTTTCACATTTTGCCTCGACCGTTCGATTTTGTCTCACCCATCCGCGCGGAGCTGCCTTGGAGCGCTGCTGCAGCCGCCTGCCGCTGAGCCAGACAACAGCGAGTTGCCTTCCCACCGCACCGATGCAATTTCCCTCACCTTCTCCATATTCACCACAGGCACCAGCACCATCACCACAAACCCCCTGTACCGGCACCCACTGCCCCGGAAAACCATCCTTTTCCACACCAACCCAATCCATATCACACGGGTCAGCAACCCAATCCATCGGCCTACGCACACGCTACAAATGGGGATCCCCTATGGCATTGTCCACCTCAAAGAGAAGAAACAATGGCAGAAACCATCATTTCCTACTACCACTCCCTGGCCGGCAACCTGCTACGCATCACCCGTCGCGCCCTCGACATCATTCTACAGCATCTCTACCCACAACACCCAGGACAGCTCTCCATTCCACAACTCTGGTGCCCACATTGGCAGGCACCATCTTAGACATCCCACCCAACGCACACTGCACGTCACGGATGTTCCCCATTATCGTGGCTTTTGCCCTTGACACCTGCATTTCCCGGGCCTGTAACCACACTACAAGCAGATTCGTGGCGCTGGGATTGGCTCCCAACTGTCACCGGCTCTTTGCAACGTCGCCATCACTCTCATCGAACATGCTTGGCAACAACTCCACACAACCGTTTCACCACCCACAACGAACACTTTCTCTCCCACCCCGCTATCCAAACACTCATTCACCGAGATTTCTTCGGCGATCCCATCGAGCTCGAGACCGTTGAGGACTTTCACTTACTTGGTTTTACCATTGGCCTGACAACTCGCACGATCACTTACATCCAACCAACACAGCCTTATTGGAAAATCCGTGACTCCACTTCAGCTGGCAGCAACCGGCTGGCCCTTCAGCTGGCAACAAGTACACCTACCCCCCAACAGCAGCTGCTGCCGCGGCTGAACACCTCATCAACCTCTACATGTGCAAAGGGCATGCAGCCATCGACTGTCGACGATTTTTGCAGACAAAAAAGAGCTGCTAACTGTTGCCGGGGAGCGCCGCTAAGAGGCTAAGAGGCTGGGTGTGTGTGTGTGTGCGCCACCCTCCGTTTCTAGGAGTTACTTTTCTTCCGATTTCGTTCGCGCAGGGGGTCGCTGGGGATTCGTGCAGTCAGCGACCAACGAAGACGCTGCACGTTTCCTGTGGTATGAGTCAAGGGCGCTTGACTCACGTACCTGCGGATGATATGATATGACTATGACTACACTTTTCCTGCGCTATGTTTTGCTTCCATGGTCGTTTTCATGATACCTCCTCAAACAGGTTTCCCTCCAATGCTTTCCGCTGCCGTGCATTCACAGTCATGCGCAAACAATGTTTTCAACCATTCAAGTGAGCTGACTTTGCGCCTTTCCGTTCCCTCATCCATTTCACTGTGGATTATGACACTGAAAATCCTATGAAAAAATGTGCGCGTGTATCAGTACACGCCCACTTGCCAGCTAAGTTATATTATATATACATAATTTCTCCCTCTCTATCTATCTCTGCTTGGACTGGTGCAGCTTCAGCGAAAGCTAGGCCAGCTAAGCAAGCCACCTGACATTCATGGTCACGCACCCATTCATGTCGGGCATCTCTTGGATACTTGGCTGAGCCGCGCCACAGAAGGCATGACCCAACAGGCCCAACAACCCCAGAGCTCCAAGTGCCACAGCGGCAGCGCTCCTCAGCGATCCACGACACAAGAACAAGGTTTTCAAAGGAGACTCAGACCATCTATGAATAAGAGCCCCTAGTAGCTTCTTCCTCCTAGCAGTAAGGCCAGGAGCCCCTATTCGTCCTTGCTCCTAGTATTTAACGATGCCAGGAGCCCCTAGTAGCATCCTTGCTCCTAGTAGCGATGCCCTTTGTTACTAGTAGCTTCTTCCTCCTAGTAGTAAGGCCAGGAGCCCCTAATAGCGTCCTTTCTCTTAGTAACGACCCTAGTCGCATCCTTGCTCCGAGTAGCGATGCCAGGAGCCCCTAGTTGCTTCTTGCTCCTAGTAGTAAGGCCAGGAGCCCCTAATAGCGTCCTTGCTCCTGGTAACGATGCCAGGAGCCCCTAGTAGCATCCTTGCTCCTAGTAGTGATGCCACAAGCCCCTAGTTGCTTCTTGCTCCTAGTAGTGTGCCAGGAGCCCCTAATAGCGTCCTTGCTCCTAGTAACGATGCCAGGAGCCCCTAGTAGCTTCTTCCTCCTAGTAGTAAGGCCAGGAGCCCCTAATAGCGTCCTTGCTCCTAGTCACGATGCCAGGAGCCCCTAGTAGCATCCTTGCTCCTAGTAGCGATGCCAGGAGCCCCTAGTAGCTTCTTGCTCCTA